CCAAATTTTATTTGTGAATCACAAGGTATTGGTGGCATCTACTGCACCACTTGCAGATTATCCACCACCACTTTGAGGTCTACATCTTGTCTTTTTAACAAGATGACTACCTCCTAGGGCTCTTCCAAATATTAATATTATATGTGACTACCTCAAGATATCATAAGGTAATACTGGCATCTACTGCAAATTTTGCAGACTATCCACTATTACTACAGGGTGTACATCATGTCACTTTGATAGATGATTACCTTCAAAGTGATTTCATACATTTTGCATAACATAAGGTAATAGAATTATGAACATCTACTGACAAAAGTCAGGCTATGTTTCTATTACTGCGAGATCTACACCGCATCCGGTGATTATCTTCAAAGTGTTATTCTATATAAATTGAGGTCTACACATATGAGTGTATAGCATTAGCTATTATAAAATTTGCTCCTTTGAAGCAATTATTGTTGTTCACTAAAATTATTTACTATCATAGTAAAATAATAATAATATTGATCTTACATGTTAAAATGGCATTTTTCTTCCGGTATCAATTATTTAAGCATCATTTTGCTTGAATAAGTTGTGGAAAATTACACAAATATTACTATTTGTGATGATATTGTGGTCCATACATCAAGGTGGAGACCATAATTTATAGCAAAGATTGAGTGTCTGAAGCACTATCACAAGATCCACATCATTTTTTTTGGTTGTTATTTTGTAGTGACTAACCCCCTGTTCTAAAAATGCCATGGCTATTCTCTTGATAGCTAAATATGTACATATTCATTTTATATGTCGCAAACTTCACTTAGATCTCAAACTAAGTACATTATGGATGAGTATTTATTCACTTTGAATATTTTCCTTAAGAGAAACACGCTGCCATTTGCACATCACGAATGATCACCCATTCGTTTTTTCAAGACCCCAAGTCTATTGCATCTCACAACTCTGTCACTTAATCAACTTCAAGTTGAGATCTGTGATCAAATATTTTCCTATATAAAGATCTAGTTGAAAAGCCCTTAATGCACTTTACATCCTCTTAAGATGGTACTACCATTTTTATGATCAAGAAACATGGAATTTCTTAAAATCATCAGATTCACCCAACGAGTGCTATACCATTATTTGAAATTCTTGCTAGAACCGAGAATACTATGCAAGTTAGTGGTAACAAAAGAGAACCATGAGGAATTCAAAGTAAAGTGGAGGATAATAGACAACCAAAGATAGAATTATCTCTTAATAGGAATCGTTCATTTTCAAATGATCAAAAGACAACTCTCAAGTTTGTCAAATGTGTGGTTATATAAATATTGTACCTATGATTACCAAACCCTCAAACATATGGTCGAACCACACCACAAATTTATTAAAAGGCCAATAAGTTCAATGGGATAAATTTGAAAATTTGCAAATAACAACCAGATTCTGGTAAAGGATTGTTCTCAGAATCTTCATCAGAAGGAGGACCACAATCTAATGTAGAAAATGGAGGATAAACTCATTTGCACATATCAGAGACCTCGGGTGATCTCCTAATTATCTCAACATATTATTAGCATATACTTGTACTACTACATGTAGTAAAATGTCCAATATCATATCCATTGGATACAATATTCGATAATTTTGTATGTATGTTTCAAGTTGTACTCAATATTGTTGCGTACACAATGATTTTCTAAGTATTAATGAATTAAATATTAGGATTGATAGCCTTAGCCATCCTGGTTTGGGGATGATTAGAAAATTATTTGACAATTCTGTTGGTCACAACTTATCAAGTTACATATTTTCCCAAATCATCAGATTTTATGTGCACCACATGTGCCATAGGGGAAATAAGTTTTAAGGCACTCTCACCTTAAAATTCTAAGCATGCCACTTAATTATTCTCCCTTGAACACATTCAAAAGATATATGCGGATTGCTTAACCATTATCTGGGGTAATTTAGATACTTCATGGTACTCATATACACATTCACAAAATGTCTTCAAGTGTGTCTCTTATCACACACAACCATGATCTTACCCAATAAATTGCTTGACTCATCAAAGTAGGAGCAAATTCTCCTGAAATAAGAATAAACCCATTCGAATGGACAATGTCGGGGAACTCATTTCATGACTATTTTGTAATTGCATTCAGTACTCTATATACATACCCAGAATGGTTTAACTAAATTTCTTATCAAAGATAATCAAATGACTTACATGACCACTCTTAAAGAATTGTAAATTTATCAGCCTCTTGCTGGACACATACGTCCTTACACACCGTAAGTATGATCTAAATCATAACAACTGCATATCATACTATTTTCCCCTTGTAGTAACTACGTGGAAATCAACAAAGTATTTCCCATCTGCGATAATTCGGTTACATACTGATATCACCACTCCAGCATACATCAAAGGGCACTCACAGAAAATTAGGGATCTATGTGAGGAATAACAATTTATCCGTCACCCAAAAATTATCCATAGCCCGTATGCTGATTGCATCAGCAATAAGGATATTTTCGGCATTAGGGGGAGATAAGTACCACAAAGAATGCCGAGAAATAAATTAGAAATGTTATTGACATTCAATCCTTATAACCACGTACTCAAAGAATCTGAACTAGAAGTTTAGAGAATCATATATTTGCAACACGTTGCAAATCTGCCACATACATTTACTGATAACAAGGTGTCACTGAATTCTATATTCCTGCAGTAAAGTGTCAGAAAGAGTGGAGGTACCTGATAAACCACTCTTCTCCCCAAATGAGAGCAAGAGGGGGAGAAAATCTGACAACACGAGATATAACTTCTCATATGCTTCCGCGGAAACAGAGGAAATCAAATCATCAACCAGTAAATGTAATTCAACATCAAGTTGAAAGACACCTCACTGGATGCTCATAATCCAAAGCCCGACATAAATGTGCACAAATGTTTTGGTGCCGGGACATCGAAACACCTTGACTCCACTTGTTGTAGGAAATCACAAGGAGTTAAAAAGGAACAAATATATTATCCACAAACTTCAATGATTCCATCAGAATCATATAAACTAAAGACTACATTTGTCGACATATATTTCTTCTCAAATTGCTAAAACCTTTTGGGCCCTGAACCAAAATCCATGGTAGAGTGCCTCTTGCACTCATATTGGTTCACATAAAAGGAAGCAAGTAATGAAGAATAGCACTCGCTCTGCAAACGAGTGGTATTTACCGCAGTAATACCTACTCCTCATAAGTATCTTCCACATGGAATACAAAAAACTTCTCATTCATAGATAAAGTCAATGAGGTGGTGAGAAAGCGAGGCTTGTAGCAAAAGGGTTCACGTAGAGACCCGACATCAATTACGATGTAACATACCCTCTTGGTATGAGTGGAATTATGTTTCGATACTAAATATCATTGGCAATAAAAATAATAATATTATCCATGCAGTTGATGGATGAAGTGGCTACATACTCATATGAGTCACTTATTTTGGAAGTCCCTATTGAAGTCTCTGAAGGGCTTATACTTCCAAATCCAAAAGCAAATCGCAACAAGTTTTGTGTAAAACTTCATAAGTCACTCTATGACTTGAAATAGTCGAAAATCATATGGTACTACCGACTAAATGAGTTCCTTCTTCAAAAGGATTACTCGAATAATGATGATTGTTTATGTGTTTAATAAAGGAATCCCAAATTTGATATCCTTTCATCACCTCAGTGTATATTGATGACCTCATCATCAATGTCTATACAAGACCTAAACATACACATAATCATCTCTAGACGGGAAATTTGGATTTAACCAAATTTAGCTTACAACTTGAGCATTCTATCAAGAATACATACCAGTCTACATATATCCAAGACATGTACGAGAAGTTCAATGTGGATATATCATACCAATAAAAGACATGTAATATGGTCATAGTACCCCTGATAGGGTACAAATCCATTCATATCTAGGGGTGATAATGAAGTGATATCAGGACCTGAAGTTCTATATCTCACTAATGTCAATGCACTCATATCATTGCAAACTTCGTCAGGCCTGACACTATATTTGCTATCTTTGTTCAGAGTGCAACCTCTAACAAAAGGTATATGGTTGATATAAGAAATATTAGCTTATATCTCAAACTCACAATAAATCTTGGACAATTCTATCAGGAAAATAAAAATATGACCGTAATATGATGTAATGATATTGGCTCCTTATTTGATCCCAACAATGCCATACCAATGACTAAATTCACTATAATAGTCTTCTCATGAAAGTCATCTAAATATACTTTAACGACTATTTCCACTTATCATTCTTTAAAAGCATTGCAAAATATGCATGGTTCAGTAGAATGATTAATCACACTCGAAATCATGTGGTTGAAATTCATCAGAATCACATAACTTGATTTTATCAAGATTCTACCACTTGTGTTACTCAATACCTACAGGTTATATGAAGAGCAATATCATAAAGCACATTGCTTGAAATCACTTATCCTTACGAATTACAGAAAGTGAGGAAACAATTTACAAACAAAATATTGTGAAAATCCTACAGATTATTCACAATGCCATGGTCATGTCAATGCAATTGGTATGACACATCCCCTAGATTTGCAAACTTCAGGGGGAGTAATCTCCAAAACTATAACCTGTTAACAATTGTAAGATTGCATATGTTGTACTCTTTTTCCCTTCATGAGTTTTTCCCTAATGGTTTCTCATAAAAGGTTTTTAACGAGACAATATAAACACAAGTGCCCTTATATGTCATAAACTTTCTCCTTATATTTTTCCCACTGGGTTTTAAAGGAGTTTTCAATGGCATATCATATCGCACTCTTTTCTCTTATGAGTTTTCTATCAAAGTTTCTCATAATGGTTTTTAATGAGGCAATATCTTATCAAAGATAATACGTCATACTTTCTATTTTCCCTATCGGGGTTTTTAAAGGAAGTCCTCAAGACATATTAATTGTTCTCTAAACTCATCAATGATTTTTCTCCTTCTTCAAAGGTTTTTCTCATATGAGTTAACAAGAGACAATAATCATTATATGTTGCATCATTTTCTCCTTATTATTTTTTCCCACTGGGTTTAAAGGAGTTTTAGCAACATATCTGCACTATTCTCCTCATATTTTTCCCACAGGGTTTTTGGAGGAGACATTCAAGATTATTCAAAGAATTTGTCAAGATGATGGATGCACCAAAGAAGAGGCGTTGTACAAGGGGGAGTGTTAAGAATAGAATAGTTGCTTATTAATTAAGCTAATTAGGATTAAGTTAATTGTTAGATAGGTTGCTTGGTTCTCAAGCAACCATGTACTTCCTTGGTTCTCAAGGCAACTATGTAATTCCTTGGCTCTCAAGTAACTATGTTTTTACTTGACCGCCAAGCACCATGTGTACTTCCGCCTGGGTATAAATACCCCACTTCTATCATCAATAAAGACTGATGGATCATCTTTCATTAAACTCTCTCGTTCTTTACTTTTCACTCAAAACAGCCACCACCGCCCAACTCGCAGGAGTGACCGGCTTCTTCTGGGTACCCGTCCTTTGCTAGGCTGCGCCCTCCGACCCACATGGCTGGGCTTTGCAACAGAACGCGTGTGCCTCGCTCGCCTCGACTCGCTACTTGGCGACCGCCTGCAACGCTCTTTGCCGAGTTGTTTTCGTGGACACCTGGCGCCACGTACGCCATTATGTCATTGTTTTTTGTATCGCTTTTGCGGCCGCCTACGGGTCTTTCCTCCGGTTGACCAACACAAAGACTGCTTCTCCATGGTTGAGCACACGCTGCTTTCGCTGCATCCGATCTAGCAAAGTTAGCACTTACGTCTGTAGTATCGACATAAGTTTTGGAGTCACCTTCCGCATCAGTAGCATCGACATGAGTTTTCGAACCATGATTATGAAGGTGGACTTTTTCTTTCACGAGCACGACAATTTCTTTAGCCGGCGCTTGAAAAACTAGATCCTGCTTGTCCACGAGTTCACACATCAACATCATGTCACTATCATCTTCACACATCAACATCATGTCACTATCATCTCCTTGCTGGGCTATGAGCGCCTTCTGCTTCGGTGCTTTCTCGCAGTCAGCCTTGAAGTGGCCGAGGAGGCCATAGTTATAACACCTCACTTTTCTGATGTCAAACTTTCTCCTCGGTGGTGGTGCAGCCTCATCCTCTGAGTCGTCATCTGAGTCGGCGTCCGAATCGGCGAAGTTCTTTCTCACCGAACGCTGCTTCCCCTTCTTCTTGCTGCTGCTCCTGGATCCCCCTTGCTTTTCTAGGGCGATCCACTGCGCCTTCGTGAGCATTACAAGCTCGTTGTTCCTTCCGTCCCCAAGACTGTACCTCATGCGCTCATCATGAGCCTTGTATCTTCCGACAAGATCGTTGATGGAGAGAGTCACGAGATCGACGCATTGCTCGATCGCCGTGACAATTTGCAGGTACCGGGGAGGGGCCGCACGCAAGAACCGCCGGACAACCGAGGCCTCTGTGAGGTTCTCCCCAAGCGCGCGAATCCGATTGACGAGAGTAGCCACCCGTGAAGCGAACGCATCCACGGACTCATCATCGCCCATGACCAAAGTCTCGTAGTTCCTTAGGAGAGTTTGGAGATTGGCTTGCTTGACACGGGTGTGTCCCTCGAACATGAGCTTTAGCGTATCCCACACCTCCTTCGCCGTTGCTTTGGCAATTAGGTGCTGGAGGACATCCATCGGCATCACCGAATAAATCGTCGACGCCGCCTACCGATCCTTCCGGTGCTCGGCTCCCTCCTTCTTGAACGTGTCGCCTCCTGGGTCGACAGCGTCCCATAGCTCGTTGGCGCGGAGACCACACTTCATGAGAGCCTTCCAGACTCCGAAGTTCCCGCGATCAAATCATGGGTACGGCGACGAACTTGCTGGAGCAGCAAATACTTTAGCTGCACCGAAGTACTCCACCAGCTGCTTGTTCTTCTCGTCGTCCAACAGAGGTCCCCTCGGCCGATCTCTTCAAGTTTGCGGGCGGGAGAGCGAGCGGCGTGGCGCGCATGGCGAGGATCACCATGTACAAGGCGTGCATCTGGGGCGGATGCTCCTTGTCGGCCATTACCGCGGCGATCGATGCCGCGGTGAGCGACGGCGTGGACCTCATCTCCTTGTCCTTCGGAGGCCTCGTGGAAGCCTTCTACGACGACCTCCTCGCCGTCGCCACGTTCGGCGCTGAGCGCAGAGGCGTCTTCGTCGTCATGGCAGGCGGCAACGACGGCCCGAAAGCGTCAAGCATAACCAACGTGGCCCCGTGGATGACGACCGTCGGCGCCGCCACCACGGACCGGGTGTTCCCGGCGACACTCCGGCTCGGGAACGGGGTGGTGCTCACCGGGCAGTCCCTGTACAACATCCCGTTCTCCCAGGGAGCAGGCACGACCCCGCTAGTGAGCAGCGACTGCAGCGAGTACGGCGACCTGACGCCCGACGGGGTCATGGGCAAGGTCGTGGTGTGCTCCCAGGGTGTAGGAGCTTGGGCCGGCTTTGACGTGGAGAGAGCCGGCGGAGCCGGGATGATTTCCGCCGATGGTAGGATACGGTTCGGGGACGCGGTGAGGGCCCAACCCTTCAACCTTTCCGGTCTCCTGCTCAGCTCCACCGGCGGCAAGAAGCTGGACGATTACATGTCGTCCGTAGCGTACCCGGTGGCGTCCTTCAACTTCACCTGCGATGTTAGAATAAATCCGAGGCGGTCCGTCGATCTACCGAGGATCAAGCAATCACACAAGGCACGACACCGAGATTTGTTAATGAGGTTCATCGATATGGCTATATCCCCGGGACATGACTAGGGCGCTCCTCCCCATGACACCGTCACAATACCGCACCCCGGCCGCCCGGGCGCCGGCACACGCCACCGGCTCCCCCGCGTGCCCGTGCTATTATGTTGGCATATGTTACATCGTGTGTCTACCCTCGGTATATATGAGAGGCCTAGGATACAAGTGTCCTACTTGGACACGACTCCATATCCTGTCCACACACAGTACGACTCCAAGTCCAACTGTAACCTAACTTGTACAATAATATTCGACACAACTCTAACAAACTCCACCTTGAAGAATATTCTCCACCACCTTGAATTTGTCCATGCATCGAACCTCCATATATATTGGACTTGAGATACGCCATGAGCACCGCTGCTACTCCCAGACTCCATATGACTCCACCTGCAACTATAGTCCTTTCTCGTCTTTTTCACAGTCAATACTCGAGCAAAATTAAGTTCCTCAATACTTTACTTTGTGCTCCCAACTTTCGAAGAATTCGTTCAACACCATCACACACCGACCACTGTCTGCGTGAAAATGAACAACTCACGTATTGGACGCCACAAATAAGAGTTACCTGAACTCAACATCACCTCTCTTTCTTGACCGTCTGTCTGAAACTTGAAGGAATTTCACCGTTGCCCTGTGTCACCCTGAGTCAAATTTACAGTTGTCTCATCCTTTTTTCCCGGATAGTCTTTGACATGTCCCATAGCTATAGCACTCCGTCTCCTTCTATACTTATGATCCGCACTTTGCAATATGCACTGAACACCACAAAATATACGGCCATGTACTCTCTCAGCCTTTGACAATTTCAGACTTTCGGCCACTTTCTTAGATTTTTCATGGTCAACTCCTGTCCATCAACCGGCACCGATAGACCTAGTCACCAACTTGAATTCGGTACTCGTCAACACTGCTTCAGCACCCCATGCACACTTTGTTTAACAATATATCTGACCACCGGTGCCCTGGCATGTCGCTGTGTCCCGTGCTTACCGCACACCTCGCCGCTATCACCGCGTCGAGTCTCTGCTGTCCTGGTCGAGTCTCCCGGGTAGCTAGCCCCCATTGTCTCAACTCCCACTGCAGAGAACCATCGATCATCACCGACGGATGTCGAGTATCACGCCTCCATCAAACCACTGGCGCCCAGTCCGATCCACGTGTCTCTCGCTTTACCCGCTGAAATAGGCTTCGACTCTCCGTTAACTTACACCGTAGCCCCTCCATCAGCTCAGAGTGTAGTCATCCATCAGACTCCAGCTCCACCTTCAACATGACTCCATGGTGGTTGTACGTGCCACCCTCCCGCGCCCTGTCGACTCCAAGCTCTCATGTGCACTGTCTTGAATCAACCCTGCGCAATAGTCTGTCGAAGCCGCACAAGCCCTCAAGCCTGCACCACGTGTTTCCACGCCCCAGAAGTCGGCCACCATCAGCATCACGCTCCTATGTCGTCGTCGCTGAAATCATCGCCGTCTTCTGCTTTGACCGACATCCCCGTCGATCCGTCAGACAGTCCAGTCCGACCCAACCGAAATTATCAGACTGCAACCATGCTTCACCCTGCGTCGTGTCCGCCTCGCACATCTGTGCATTGCCTTGACGCCTTGTGTTTGCATAATCCTGTCACGGCGCGCTCCAGACTCCTCCAAGCCTTATACGCACGTCGCCATCCTCGCCACATACTCTTTGAACCTTGTTAGCAATCTTGACAAAAAAACCTTCCGTGCAAACCTGATTCCTTGCAAAATTATTTTCCTTATCCATTGCTAGCACTTGTCCGTGTACCCCTAGCAGCCAAGACAAGCTATTTTATCTTCCAACTACTCCTGGACACCAAGCACGTTCGTTTGCATGTGACGGCAACATGCAAACCTCCTGGTACAAACATCTATGCAATTAGCAATGCAACCCCAAAAAAGAGTTACGGAAATGCTGTACCAACGACAAAAGTGTAGATGATGTGAAGACGATTAAAAATCGGGCGGCCGTTAGCTCTCCTCTACACATGCATGCGCGGCTGGATTTCACCGTCGTGCATGAATCGTCTGTCTTTGTCGTCCGTATAGCATTGCTGAAAGAGTTATTACCATGGTATCTTCCGTGGCTGCACCATGCATGCGTCCACAAGTCCCATCGCTCCTCTTTCTATACCATTGCTGTCCATGACACAGTATATACCATACGTTGCAGATTCTCTCTTTTTTATAAACGTTGCAGATTCTCTCTTTTTTATAAACAAATCTCATGCACCTATACGTACATCCTCCTGCAACTCTCCAGCACTTGCGCTTTGTCCCGGTTCCCCTCTGGCCATGCACAAGTCTCACCTGCAGCTCCCAGCAGCCCAACACGGGCCTTGTCAGCTCCAGCCCAGTGCCTATCGGCCACCTATTGCACCGGTCCATGGGCCACGGCCTGCTATGACTCCTGTTGTGTAGTCACTAGCCACCTCGGCTCGATCGCTACGTCTTCCGAGTCCTGACGCACGTTCCGCCGCCGCCGCCACCAAGTTGCTTTCCGATCGGATTCGATCCCATCTGCTGACTGCACGCACCACCCGCCCGACCGGCGTCCAACTTAATAGATCTGTCTCCCGCTTCGAATTGCTTCTTGTAGCTGCTCGCTTCCTGATCGATTTCTCGTCCGCGCATGGCGCCCCGCAGGCGACATGTTATCAGCGAACAACCTTGATCCAAGCCGAGCTTTTCCTCCAGATCAACGATCTGCGGCCTCCGTCGATTTACCGAGAACCAAGCAATCACATAAGGCACGACACCGAGATTTGTTAACGAGGTTCACCGATATGGCTACATCCCCGGGACATGACTACGGGCGCTCCTCCCCATGACACCGTCACAATACCGCACTCTGACCGCCCGGGCGCCGGCACACGCCACCGGCTCCCCCGCGTACCCGTGCTATTATGTTGGCATAGATTACATCGTGTGTCTACCCTCGATATATATGAGAGGCCTAGGATACAAATGTCCTACTTGAACACGACTCCATATCCTGTTCACACATCGTACGACTCCAAGTCCAACTGTAACCTAACTTATACAATAATATTCGACACAACTCTAACATGCTACACGATCACCGGCGAGAACCGGGCGCCGATGGTGGCGTGCTTCTCCTCGCGGGGCCCCAACCCGATTGTCCCCGAGATCCTCAAGCCGGACGTCATCGCGCCAGGAGTGAACATCCTCGCCGCCTGGTCTGGTGCCGCCTCGCCATCTGGCTCCGACATGGACGCGCGGAGAGTGGAGTACAACATCCTCTCGGGGACGTCGACGGCGTGCCCGCACGTGGCCGGCGTGGCGGCTCTGATCAAGAAGCGGCACGGCGACTGGACGCCGGCCATGATCCGTTCGGCGCTGGTGACGACCGCCGGCCCGCTCGACAAGGACGGCAGGGACATCGTGGACAGCGGCAGTGCCATCGGCGCCGCCGTCATGGGCGCGACGCCGCTGGCGGCCGGGGCCGGGTTCGTGCTCCCGCGGCTCGCCATGGACCCAGGCCTGGTGTACGACGCCGGCACGCAGGACTACGTCGACTTCCTCTGCACCCTCAACTACACGGTGGAGCAGATGCGGCAGTTCGTGCCGGAGCTGAGCAGATGCGGCAGTTCGTGCCGGAGCTGAGCAAGTGCGACAGGACGATCCCCGGCGGCGTGGCCAACCTCAACTACCCGTCGCTCGTGGTGGTGTTCGACGGCCGCACCCGCGTCCGCACGCTGACGCGGACGGTGACCATGGTGTCGGCGCGCCCCGAGAGCTACAACGTGACGGTCGCGGTGCCCGACGGGGTGAAGGTGACCGTGACGCCGGCGACGCTGGAGTTCAGGTGGCCGAAGGAGAAGAGGAGCTACAGCGTGCAGTTCAGCAGCGAGGCGGGGGCGAAGGCGAGGACGGCCGGCACGTGGGAGTTCGGCCACATCGCCTGGGAGAACAGGAAGCACCGGGTCAGGAGCCCCGTTGCCTTCAAATGGGACAACTGATGCCATGCATGTAGGCCTGAACTCTGAGAGAGTAATGTTGTGATACTTGAGAGTTGATCTGTAATGAAGAAGAAGAAGAATCAGCATTTCATTGTGGTGAACTTGTGATGAGGAGAAAGGGATAATCATCATGTTATTTTTCTCAGTACAATTGCATCTAATTTCGTATGGATCGTCGTCCAACTTCATGGAATGGAATCATACATACTACTACATAGTTTTAATCCGTAGACCCGCATTTGCATTTTGCATGCCTCTCTCGGTGGCTGACCATGCGTATTTCCTTGGTGATGCATTCGTGTTTAGCTAGGTTAGAATACTTGAGATGCACTTCTATCATGGATGGTACTGTACGTCATACGTCTAAACAGTCTGGTGTTGCTTCCGCGCATCATCTGCCGTCGTATTGTATCGGGACAAATGCTACTTGGAGAGAAGCAGATTTGAAAATAGCTAACAGCGTCATGTTAGAAAGTATCAACACCTATAATATCTAACAAATATAATACGAAAATATATTTAATGAATGGTACTGTATGTCATATGTCTAAACAAAACATTTGATCAGTCGACTGATTGGGTTCATGAACATGAGAACACGTTCTTCGGCCTTCTCTCTCACACCTTTCCTCCTTGAGTGCATGCCTCCGCTCCTCCGCCTTCAACTTCCTCTCTCCGGCCGCCAACTTAGGCCTCCATTTCCCGTCCTCCAAAGACTTGAGCTCATTCCACCTTTTCGCCTTCTCTTCTTTGCGTTCGATCACCAATGATTTCTTGGTCAGTCATAGACACAAGCTCTTCCTTGTAGTTGCCGCCGAAGGCTCCTCTTCTTTTCCTCTCTCTTGCAATCTTGTTAGCATCGGGCCTCTTATTGGGATTTTCATCCTCCTCATCACTGGCTTCAACGATATGCTAATCCTTGACCTCTACGGAGTGGCCTTGAAGTTTCTCCTAATCCACTTCTCATTGTTGGCAAGTTCTTTGTAGCAATGGTGCAACATGAAGCCCTTGCCACCATTCTTCTTGTTGTGTTGCTTGTATAGCTCTTGGACGAGAGGCACATAAAGATTTTCACCACACTCGGTGGCGAATGGTTGACTCGATCAATACAACCGAACCATTGGTTGCATTGCTTTTGGATGGTGCCCCGGCAGTGCCCAAAAGAGCCTTGAGTGCGGCTTGATGTGACATCCACGATGGTGCTATGGTACTCTTCCGTCCTACCCCAATACTTCTCTTTTGATTGATCTGTGTCAACCGATGCATCGAGCGTCACGTTCATCCAAGCTTGACAAAAAGCAATCTTCTTCTTGGCAATAGTTGTGTATTCTTGGTCTCTTCATGCTTGATTGTGTCTTCATGGGATTATCGACCTCCTCCTCCTCCTCCACTTCAGGATCATCCTCCTCCCCACCCTCTATTGTTGAGAAAACATCGGATATTCATATTGAGGGGCGTAGGGGTGGCTAGCGACGGGGTACGAGCAGCCGGACAAGTCGAGGCGCTGGAGTTGCCTTCTTTTTCGCCTCCGCCTCGGCAAGCATCTTAATGGCTGATGTCGGCTTCTTCGCCCGCTTACCGCCAGCCAAATCAAGAGAAGGGTGACTTGCCGTCGCTGGGGCCGGCCTTGCCACCGCTCTTGCTGCCGGCCTTGGTTGACGGTGGGGAGGCCTGAAGCAAGTTTTTGGTCCCCGGCCTCTTCCTTCGTGCGGGCAGCAGCATGTGGGTCGACTCCGGCGGCGTCACGCCAATAGCGGTGGTCGGCGAGGTGGTGGAAGTCTTGCAGTTCATTCCGGCCAAAATCAGGGGCATCGATGGCAAGAATGGGTGGCGACGACATGAAGTGGTGGCCGTTCGAGGGCCGATATATTTACTATGGGAGGCACCGGTCGAGTATATTTAAGAGAGTCGGGCTGCCTTTGCGGCCAACTCATATATTTTTTACGCTCTAACGGTTTGAGAGATCGCTAGGTATGACAACTTCTCGAAATGAAGAGTTAAAGGTTGGGTGTGGCTAGATCTCAGTCGACTGAGATGTAGCAAGTCTCAGTCAAGTGATAAAACATATAAAAAGAAAAAAATAGAATGGAAATTTTGCACGAATCTTCACGTAAAATCCCACGATTATTGCAGCGCTAAGACTTGGTAAGTCTCAGTCGACTGAGATTTAGCAATCCCATTAAAGCTTTTAAGAGACCGGTTAGAGATGCTCTAAGCAGGTAGCTATGTCATCCTATGAATTTTTTTTGAAAAGGAGGATATCCCTCGGCCTCTGCATCAGGACAATGCCTGCATCCATATATTATTAATAATGCGATCCAACAACCGAACATCATCGACCCGGAAAAAAGCGAAAAACAAACCCTGAGGCCGTATACCTCGTGACAGTAACTCTCCCAAATAGCCACTAACCCTATGATACAAGACACAACATAAACAAATAATGCACAACTCCTAGGCTACGCCTTCAAGAAGGAATCGTCGCATGATGACCCACAAGTATAGGGGATCTATCGTAGTCCTTTCGATAAGTAAGAGTGTCGAACCCAACGAGGAGCAGAAGGAAATGATAAACAGTTTTCAGTAAGGTATTCTCTGCAAGCACTGAAATTGTTGGTAACAGATAGTTTTGTGATAAGATAATTTGTAACGGGTAACAACTAATCAAAGTAAATAAGGTGCAGCAAGATGGCCCAATCCTTTTTAGCAAAGGATAAGCCTGGACAAACTCTTATATAAAGGAAAGCGCTCCCGAGGACACATGAGAATTATCGTCAAGCTAGTTTTCATCACGATCATATGATTCACGTTCGGTACTTTGATAATTTGATATGTGGGTGGACCGGTGCTTGGATACTGCCCTTCCTTGGACAAGCATCCCACTTATGATTAACCCCTATTGCAAGCATCCGCTGTCAGTGTCAAAACCGGCGGATCTCGGGTAGGGGGTCCCGAACTGTGAGTCTAAGGTTTATGGTAACAGGAGACAGGGGACACGATGTTTACCCAGGTCCAGGCCCTCTCTATGGAGATAATACCCTACTTCCTGCTTGATTGATATTGATGAATATGAGTATTACAAGAGTTGATCTACCACGAGATCGTAATGGCTAAACCCTAGAAGTCTAGCCTGTATGACTACGGTATTGAGTATATATCCTTTCCGAACTACACTCTCCGGTTTATATAGACACCGGGGGGATCTAGGGTTATATAGAGTCGGTTACATAAGACAAAATCTTCATTGTTGTTTGCCAAGTTTGCCTTCCACGCCAAGGAGAGTCCCATCTGGACACGGGTACAGTCTTCAGTCTTCGTATCTTTACAGCCCATCAGTCCGGCCCATAGATAACAGGCCGGACGCCCGAGGACCCCTTAGTCCAGGACTCCCTCAGTAGCCCCCGAACCAGTCTTCAATAGCGAGGTGTTCAGCACACAGATTGTCTTTGGTATTGCAAGGCGGGTTCCTCCTTTAATGATTTCCATGTAGTGTATTTGGTCGTAGATTCAATGTCTCCCCTCGGCTCCAGCATGCTTAATGTCCTCGTTTTCCACGTGTCGAGCGAATGCGGACAGTCAGGGTATTTTTTGCAAATAACACCCTAGTACTGCAAGGAAGAGCATCTATTTAAAGAGATTGGATCTCAGATCCTTTCGGCACCAAGCGGAGAAAATCCTCAGAGACCGCCAGGCAAGACCATTCCAACATGGCCAACAATCCCAGCTGCTCTTCCCGTTCCAACCTAGAGAGAGGCGAGTGGGAGAGGTGCTCTGTGTCCCATAGCCGATTGACGAAGCTGCAAATGCAGGGATTTCTCCCTCCAGCAGATCTGGTGCCTGTTCGAGCAGGGTCAGCCTCCTTCAACGGCAAAACCCAGGCAGAGGATTTTCCCAATCCGTCCACGGGAGAATGGGTGTGCTTCATCCCCTATCTGCTGAGGGGAGTGGGGTTTCCAATTCACCCATTCCTCCGAGGGCTGCTGGAGCACTATGGCCTCCAGCTGCACAATTTCACCCAGGCTCCATCCTCCACATTGCGGGTTATGTCGCCCGATGCAAACTATTCCTGGGTTGCGAGGCCCATTTTGATTTATGGAGAAGACTGTTCTGCCTCGTCCCTCACAATCAAGGTGGATCAATTTTTGAAGTGGGAGGAGCCAAAGTGTGGCGCATCGCCGGGACCGCATACCTGTCCGGCGCGCCAAAGAAAGCTCCTGAAGAGTGGCCTTCCGCATAGGCCTCCCCGAGTTTTCAAATGCTCCGCTGAAGAAGCGCCATAGCTGGCGTCCTCAGAGCCTCGAGGAAGAGGATAGCGTGGAGATCAGCTTTCTACTGGGCAAGATTAAAACACTTGCCCAGTACGGATTGTCAATAGTCGAGGTGATGGCAATTTCTATAACGCGGGGGGTCCAGCCACTCCAATACCGAGGACTGCCCATGTGGCATTATAACGGAGAAGGCGACGCCTCACGTTACAGCCGAAATGGCCCGAAGACCCCCGCCGCTCTAGCCAAGATTCTGGCCGAGCTGTATAAAGGGGAGAAGGAGGAGTTCAGCCGCCTACAATATCAAGACGGACTTTCCATGTACAATCCTCCAAGCTGGGTAAGGTTCGGCCCCACTTATTTTATCCTGTCCCTGGAT